CTGGCATGGCCCCTGAGGCAGAAGGGGCAGGAAGGAGGGTTTTTCCTCCTTCTGGCCTCTCTGGCCCTAGGGCACCGCTGCCAGGGTCCGCCAGCCCTGACCACCGCCTCTGCTCATCGCTGTCTGTGTGGCATGAGCAGCAGGATAAGCTCCTTCCCTGCCCCTTCCACTGGGAAATGGGGGGAGGGTGGGAAAAAAATCCCCCCCCCCCCCCCCCCTTCCCCTCCTTCATTCTGTCTTTCATAAAAAAGGAGCATATTATTTTCTGGGGCTTGTATGTGTAAAAATATGGAATTTTGACTTAATGCAGTCAGTTATATACCTAAGGAAAAGTAAGAACCTATTTATTGGCCAATGACTGTAATAGCTAAGTAACTTGCACGCTGGTTCAATAAACTGTAACTTTCTGAGTTTTGCCAAAAATGTTTCTTTCTTAACAGAGAGAGATGCCTTTTTTTATCTGTATCTTGTAGTCTGGCTATTATAACATCTCTTCTGATTGGTAATTGTCTTCCGAATCATGATCCAAAGGGTTGACTTAAGGTTTTTTTAATGCTTCCACATGTTGCCATTGTAGCTGGTGTCTGTGCCTATTTCCTGCTTCTCTTTGCTCATCAAACTCTAGCACATTCCCTTTTACTAACTTAGAGTACCTTTGCTTACTTAATTTGGTTTGATATTACAATGTAGGATTAGATGTTGAAGTGTTAGGTAAGTGAAAGGGGAGAATAAGAAACAAGGGTAACCATATTTGTAACCATATGAATAGAGATTTATTCCAATAATTATGCAGATAGTGGTAATCTATTGAGCTAAAAATGGCCCACAGTGCCACAGCATGTGGTTTAGTAATAGAATATTGTTTTGGGGAAATGTATCCACTCTGACAATTTCCAACAGGAAAAAGCTAAATGAATCATTTCAATTTTCCCATTATGACAAAAACACTAGTGTTTTTTGTTTGGATCAGGGAAAAACTGTTAAGTAGGCTTTTCATTATATTAAACTAAATATCATATCACTGAATAGTTGAGAATGTTCTGATAGTAAACTAAACAGTCTTACCTTAGCAAAACAGAAGGTTTAGATAAGTTCAAATTGAATTTTTTCAATATTTTTCTTTCACAGGGAACTTTAGCTTTTTGTTCTGACTTGTAACAATTTTTGAAGTATCAGTTCCCCATGGAATGGACTGTTTGGCTTCCAGCCAGCTCTAGGAATTGCTTTATAAATCTAAAACCACTATGTCTAAGAACAGCCCATTGACTTTGTGGAACTCTGCGCAGAGACACTGGTCCAAGTTTAATGCATCCAGTTGCATAACAATGCATGCATAAATATAGATTAAATGAGTTACAATTATCCAGCTTTTTGAGATTCCCACTAGACGGTCTCATGAGGCAGGGAGCACCCTAAGTATACTAGAATATGTGCAAGGACTTACTACGTTTTTTTCCTCTTCAGATGTTACAATTTGTGCTCCTAGGGGGATGAAGTTTATAAAAACTAACTGCCCATTTTTTAAAATTGAGATCATAATGTCTTTCCAATTCCTACAGAATCTTACCAGAGAATTTTGCGCTGAGGAACCTGTTATGATGAATTTAATAATAAACAAACTATACACAATTAAAGGAAACAATATACATTTTAAATTACTCACCTAAATAACAAACAAACAAACAAACTAGTTAGCATGATCTACAAGGAAAACCATTTTAAAGTTAGTTAATAGATAATTAAAGTGTACATTGTGAGTAGCCTCACTTATTTAGTGGATAAACTTTCCCTCATGTAAATGCCTGTGATACCAGATACTGCAGTGTCATGTTTTATTTTTCAGGACCAGTACAGTGAAATGAGAATCAGTATAAACCAGAAACCTGGTAAGAGCCACAACTTTGGGTTTACAGCAAATTGGAATACTTCTGGGGTCTTTGTGCAATCAATTGAAAAAGGTAAATTCATATTTAATTCTCTTAGAGACTTTGTTCCTATTGTTAATGCACTGAGGCTTTCAAATAAAGGCATTTACTTGTAAGAATTGATGGAAATATTCTTAAGAATTCAGATGGGGGTAGAAAAGAAAAAAGGGAACACTTATTTTATTGTTAAAGGCTAAATATTCTACAATTCCTTTGTACAAGTATCACTTAACTTATTTAATATTAAGTGTGTTCTGAAACAATTGTATATCCATAGCAATGGTATACATATGTATTTATTAATAAGGTTTTGTGATGTCTGATGCAGTTTAATATTCTGAAAGATACGGGTCTTTAAAATACAGACTGTTCTTTTCTCCTATATTTTTAAAGGTGTTACTTCCTACTGTATATAAACCCAGGTACACAGGAAAGATTATTGTTACCAGGCATATATTTTGTTTCAGGTTTGCCTGCCTCCACTCTATTGAATATTGGAAACTATTACTTTTGAAAAGTAACTGCAACCTCTGAATTCTGCGACTGAAATTTAATTTTTTTTTCAGAACAGAGGTAGTAAAAATCAACTGCAAGTTGCATTCAGAATCGGAATAAACAGTAGACAGTAACTAAAGCTCCATTTCCTTTAGATATGTATTAATATCAAAGATTAAGGTTCTTGTCATTCCTGTTGGGGATTAAATGTTCTTTTTATATTTCTGAGTTTTTAGTGTAGTTTGTTTTAAAGAGCAAACTATATTTTAATGAATTGTTAATTAAAGAGAGTAATCGTTCATAAAATAGCATCTTTTATATGGTATGTGTTGTTTTTCAGTAATATTCACTCCAAGTTTTGCTATTTTCATTTTTACACCTGATGGCTTAATGCATAATAAAAAAATTTAAAAAACCGAGGAGAGGAGAAACTGTTGCAAGCTAGCTTTTATTAAACTCTTTTTCATAGCAAGAAAAATTATTAATTGCCAACTTATGTATTGACTTTAAAGTGAAAACCAGGACTGTGTTTACATCGGCTAGGTCCTACTAGATAAAGAGAATCAAACAATGAATAACCCCTTTATCCAAGAGTAATTTAAAATTGTTCTCACTGCCGCTAGGCCTTTCTTTTTATGCCAGTTACTCTGGACAAAGATCTCTCTCCGTGCTGCATATTGTAAATCAAAATAAAAGTAACATTACAGTAATGCTGGTTAATGTTTATAGGATTGTAGTGCGCAAAGGTCCCTGTCAACCCTGATTCTGGGCTCCTGCCGTGGAGGGAAGGGTGAATGTTCGGTCGTGGCTATCTCAGTTTATACTTTGTCCTAACCATGAATAACATGTCAAAGTACAAAGGAATTGGTAGTAACAGTAGTAACTTTTTTTTTACTGAACTGTGCCTAATACTCTCACATACATGGTATGTTTAATGCTGCCTTCAAAGCTAAGCATTGTTCTATCACTGTGAGGTAGCTACATAATAGTTCAAAAATAAGGGCAGCACTTGAAATACCATAGCATGCTTTCATTTTTTTTCTGCTCATTTCTTAATGCTTGCTTCAAATTTAAGAGAATGTTGAAATTTTAGCGAACTATCTTAACTACATTGTTTTCCTTAAAATATTTTCAGTGCCTTTCATTCTTGGTTTTTACAATGATTTATATGCTTCATATATTTTTTATTTTAAATGCCCCGATGAGAAAAAACATTGTACTGAAGCAGCATGCACTTGATATTTGTTCCCTTCAAAAGCTTTTTAAAAGTTGAAGTGCATATTTGACCAGAGTCCAGTTAACACCCATAAAATAAACCAGGGTTGCAGTTATTTTTTCTAACAATTTCTACACCTTCTACTAAATAAACAAAGAAAGCCTGAGAAAATATTAAGTGACCTAGCCAGTTTCCCCACTGCACTGTAATCCTCCACACCTGAAATGTCCCTCTTCTCCCTTGCCCATTTACAACCAGTATTTGAGATGACATGAGTGACCTAAGGGTACACGTGACTGAAATATACCAGGTGTAGCCATATAGGGCTGTCTTCTTTGCAAACCAAATTTGACCCACTTTCTTTGCACTTTTTTTTTGATGTGAAGCTAACTGAGCACTGCAGTTTGTTCTATTGCAATAATATCCAAATGGACTAAAGAAACACTTCTGTGGAAAATAAGAATAGAAAAAGTAAAGATTTCCATTTTTAGCAGAAAAATGCTTTTTGCTTCTAGTGGAAATTTTGAAAAATACCATAACTCACTTGCTTTAATTATGATCTAAAATTAAATCCGATGCAGTAGCAGGAAAATTTTCAGTTCATTCAAGTGCTTATTTAGGTTTATATGTATAGATGTAATCTAGAGACTATAGCAGTTGCCATTCATTCGTTCGTATAACGATTCTGTATGTTTTGTTTCTTGTAGTTTATGCTTTCTTAGTCTTACTTGATAATTTGAACTTCTTCTCTCATAGAGTCAACTTTGTTGTTGAGCTTCAGTACACCTCTCACTTTGAACATTAGCTTTGACTTAGTTTAGTCAGCTTTCTAAGCTTATGGGGGAAGAATCTTCTAAGGTGACATTTCAGTGCATGACCAAAATTATTTGTTAAGAAGTATTAGAAATATGGTAATATATGTATTTACACCTTCAGCTGAGTCTGAGATATTTCCAGTTATACACATTATGTTTAAAAATGTATTACACATGACATTGTTTCAGTTGTGAAAAAATAAAATACAGCATGCTTCCTGGATAGCACAAAATTTTATTGGACATGATACTGCACAGTTATTTTACAACCCAAAGATACTGGATTTTAAAAGTAATCTTCATTAATCCTATATTGCATAAGCAGTATCTAGAAAGATATGGATTCTTCTATCCTTTTTTCATTCCTATACCTTCTTCTGCCTAGTCTTTATTCCATAATGTTGTGTATATATAACATGCAGCAAAAGCTTGGATTTACGGTGGTGGTGTGTTTTTTTTGTTTTTGGTTGTTTTGGTGAGGATCTACCCGAGGCGCTTTCAGTCCACACATTCTAAAGAACAGTCAAATTAATGGAATATTAAATTTCTTAACCAGCATTTAATTCAGGAAGAAAAGAGAAAATGTTCCATTTTTCTCATTCCTGTACCCCAACATTTTAAGATGCCGGGAAATTTCTGTTCTTTTAATCATTCTGCTGCTCACTCTGTCACCCCTTGGGAGTCAGTGCCCAGGACTGGTGCCCTACTTCCTTAGGTTCTGCATCTGCTACGTAGTGTGATCTCTACTCTAAGGTAGTCTGGCTTTTGATCATGTCCTGTCTACCTCCTCTCCTTGTTCTGCACCAAAGGGAGATACATGAAGGGGGAAGCTGCTTTTGAGATACTCTTCTCCACCAACCCTCCTGCTCCTCCTTCCCTCCCCCACCAATGCTAAGTACAGGTGGTTAAAAAACCTGAGGCTGAACTGATTCGATCTTCATGGGTTAGTCTAAGCTGCGGAGATTGAACCAATAAGCAAGTGAACAGACATTCACTTTTGATTCCAGAAATACAGACGCGTGCCTACAGTGGTGCAGGTCAGAAGCTGGGCGTTGTTAAAGCATGCTTCCCTGCTCAGCTGAAGTAGACAGCTTGGGCCAAGGCTAGCCTACCCACCCTGCAATGG